GAGAGTTCTGACTGGCTTTACATGTGGTAAAGCGACACACAGATCACGTACCTTTTCCAGGGAGCGGCTAGGTTTTGTAAAATCCAGAGTGGGTGAATAACGTGGAGCTTCCAGTGGCTTTTGGTGATGAAAGCTGCATGAACGTTGGCATGTCAAGGCCAGAGACGCTGGCACATCACTGCATGTACGATGGGAAACGGTTTCAGCAGGGGACTGCTGATGCATTTTGCTCAGAATGCAAGTTGCTTGGACTTCCCTTGACACTAAAAGGAAGCAAATAGCTTTTTATTCCTCTGTGGTATAGCTTAAGCTGCTTATTTTTGATAGATTTAGGGATCAGCCATTGTGACCTGAATGTAGTATATCAAAGATTCCTAAAGAAAGTGGCTTTTCTGTCGTGGTTGGATCAAATAGCCTAAAACTAGCAGAGACGCTGTTTTAAAGGGTGTGTTCTGGGGTAAGTAGAAAGTAAAAACTTCTTGGCTACATTCCCGTGTGGGAATGTAAACAGTTTTTACTTTAAAATCCGCATTCGACATGATCTTTAGTTCAAAGCCATGAGGTGACTGGGTTATAACATGCCCTTTTTCATTCTCCCCTTCTCATTTCTCAGCTTAATACAAAGACTTTCCATAAATGTTCTTCTGCTCTGGCTCTGCAGAAGCACCATCCACATCCCCACATTCTTTCTAATACTCTTTTTTTTTTTTCTTGACTTACCCTGTTCCTGCTATTACTGTAAGTAACTTAAAGAAAAAAAATGTCTTCACTGAAACGGTTTATCTTGTAACATTTTTTTTTTTTTTTTCCCCCTCTATTACCTGCACCTTTCTCTCCCACACTTAAAATCCATCAAGGGGAGAAAATTGTCAGGCATATTGCAAGACTGTGTAGCTACCAGCTGTACCTAACAGCAAGCATCGTTATATCACAGTGGTAATTAATAGCCTGGCTCCTCCGGGCTTTTATATATTGATTTGTTAGGTGCCATTATAGGATCAGAATTCCTCCGGTCTGATGTAAGTAGCCTTGGCCAGAGAGTCTCTGTTACTGCGCTTGTGCCTTCATTCCATTTCAGTGCAACTGCTTTATTTTTATTGGTTTGCTTTAATGGAGCAAGACAAGCGTCTCCATTCCCCTCTTCTTCCCCCTCCCTCCAAAATATTCCTGTTCCTGAAGGCAGAGAGAAGAGCGTTGCTCCAAACCCGACGGGCATCGTGGTGGTAAATGCCGCCTGCGAATCTTTGCGTGCGGCCGAAGCCCCGACTGGTTAATGCAGGTGGTAATGCCTGTGTCCCTGCCAACTGCTGCCTTGTGGGGAAGCGTCCCGGGCCTGCGGGCCGCTTTGGGTGTTCCGACTGGAGCCTTTCAAATATTTTGAGTTAAGAACGGAAAAATGTATAAAAAATTTTAATTTTTTTTGACTCGGGCAAGCGCATCTAAATTCTTACAAATGTTCTGCCCAGAAGTTTTCGAGCTGCTATCACATTTTCTCTTCCCAGAAAGCAAAATCTTAAAACTAGCTTTTTAAATACAAAAATTCCCCAGCGGTCTCGGTAACAGTTCCAACAAATTGCTTTGCAGACCCTGGAAGTCGTTGCATTGTAACAGGACCCTGAAGCTGCCACAGATGCTGGCTTTTTCCTTTTGAGCCTCTCAACAGAAACTGCACCAGAGTTTCACTTTCATAATGTTCCAGTTCATGATTGATCTGTCAGGGCAGGTCTGAGGGTTGCCAGGAGCTGGCGGGAGAACCACTGCTGAAGGTGCTGGCCTCGGCTCCGCTCTGTGCAGGTTTCTGCCCGAGTTTTAAAGCACGAGCAGAACCGTAGAGACACTTTGGATGCAAGAATTTGAATCGTAGTACTGGAAGTACCTGCTAGTGTTTCATTTTTAACTTCCACCAGTCATAAGAAGCTACACAAGATTAATCGGATATTAAAAATAAATACTGTAGCTTTTCCAAAGGGGGTAAAAGAAACTGAGTAACGTCTAAAATGCCTTCTAAGTTAAGGCTGAAAGTAAATGGGGGGGGGGGGGGGGGGGGGGCACAAAACAGCTCCCTTCTCAGACTGCCAAAGCATGAGTTATGTTCCCAGACAGTTAATACAAGTGGAGGAGCTAAAGCAAATCTGTTTGTCATCATCTTGCAATTTTAATGTCCATGGAAGGACCGATTCCACGTTACACGATGTGTTAAGACAGCAGCAGTTCCTCAGAAATGCGCTATATCAGGCCAACACCAAGCAGATAATCACTGTACCCACAAGAAAGTCTTGGCTGGGTGGGGATTTTTTTTTTTTTTTTTTTTTTTAAAAACCTTGTATTATATAAACAACGGGGGGTTTGGAGTCTGCAGATCCCCTCCAAATTAAAAAGGAAATTCCTGCGAAAGGAGGGGCTTAATGTGGTCAATTATAAAATTACAGCTCAGCGGGCAGCGTTTCGGGAGCCCCGCGGTGCACACTGGAATGAAGCAGCACACTGGGAGGATGTTTTCTGTGGCCATAGGTCTGACACACTACCAGAGACAATCGGTTACTAGAGCAGGTCTTCTGGCATAAAGGTTTTGAGTTATATTGATATTTGTCGGTTACTATGACTTCTTTTTTTTTTTTTTTTTTTCCCCCCCTTCAATTGCATCATACCCTTAAAAATACGGTGGTAAGTGAGAGATCTGCATGCTTTGGAGTTTGTTTAATCTCCGCTTCAGTCTATACAATGCACAAGTCATAATGTTAACACTTTTTCTTAAAACTTCTTCATTCACGTTCACAACTAATTTGGATTTCAGTTTGCTGTTTTTAATCTTTATTTAGTCTAATTTTGTACTTCTTTTTCTGTTGTTCTGTTGCCCCCCCTGATTTCGCTACGGTTTCGGTCTTTGTCTGTACTGTGCTGGGGATGCTTTTCCAGCAGTGAAATGGCTGACCAGGGTAGGAATGCGCAGAGAAATCTTCCGCACTCATTATCTCCGTTCAGGTTATAGATGGGAACGAGCTGAGGGGTGGAGAGCCACCACGTAACCCTAAGTATTCAAATAGCTATTTTTTTTTTTTTGTTGGATCATTGTTAGGAAAACACCTGATGGCAGCCTTTATAAATGTGAAGCTTTTTTTTTCTTTTTTAAACATGCAAACCTACTTATCCAAAAGAGGCACCGAACTATTTTAACAGAGAAGGAAAACCGGTTATTTTAGAGCAAGAGAGAGCTTGTATCTTAACAGTGCAGTTTGCTATCGCTGAAGTCCAGCCAAACAAACTCTCAAAGATGTCGATTTTGCTTGCTAGAAAGCTGAGGTAACCGGGTCTCAAAGCAGAGTGGCATCGGTAGCAGTGCTGGGGGGGGGGGGCCGGGGGCAGCGAGGGGCTTGCTGTCTGTCCGGGGCTCGTCCCAGCCAGCGTGCGAGTGCGAAGCGCAGCCTGCTTGAAGGTCTTTTGGGAATCAAAAGATGTTTATGGAAGGAAGTGCTAGATTCACTCTACTGTGCTTTGTGTTTCAGTACCTGATGTGTCTCTGTATATCTCCACTGTATATACAACAGCACATTGATGTCTGGTTGTCCTTACTAGTCCTAGTTCTCTGTATCTTGTCCGATAGTGTACTGTTGCTGGTAATGGACTTCTGTGGACACTGGTGTGTCGCTAGTGTGTTATTTTGGCTGTAAAGCTCTTGGTTTGTGGTTAGTTCTTTATTTTTTTGAAATATTTTTTTGTCCCGGTCACTGTCTGTGCTAGCGGTGGCTTTGCCTATCCGTTGCCTCGAAGGTTCGGGTGGAGTAATGTCCCCTCTGACCGACATTACTCCTAGCGTGTGCTCATGCGGATGCCTACACTGTTAAGACCGTAATTTCCATAACTGCTTCATGTGCACTAAGCACCCTTGTGGAATCCTGCTGAGAGTTTCTTAAAGACTTCAGTGAAAAAAAAAAAAAAAAAAAAAAAAATATCCCTCTGGCATGAGGTGGGAACGGCAACTGTCGAGTGCCAAAAACAGCAGGTCCTGAATTGGTCCCCCCCAAAATACTCGTACAGGAGCGTTAACTTTCTGGATTGATTTTTGTACTGCTGTTTAAATGCACTTCTGTCTTCTGTACTGCAGCCTGGGAGCAAAACAAGGTGTTCTGTAATTCAAAAAAAAAAAAAAAAAAAAAAAAAATGCTCAATTGGTCATGAAAGAGCTAATGTGAAACATTGCGCATTGGCAGATTTATTTTTTTTTTTTTTCCAATTCTTAAAAGAGAATAGTTTTGCCAAGAGACACAGGCAGAGCAGTGCTGTCAGTCTTCTGTAGCTGAAGTCTGTTGTGTCTGGAGGTATTACAACACCCCCACCTTCTCCTGGTGTTTTGAGCCCCGTGCTCTGTCGCACGCGTGCACAATGCTGCTATCCAAGGACTCCATCTGGGTACTTGAATCAAGTATTGCACCTTCAACCTCCTCCTGACCTGGCCCGTTCTAATTAGACGTTGAGAAAAATGGATTCTAGAGAGGTTGTATCATCCCTGGGGGAAGATGAGCACGTGGTGTATATACCCTGTTGTGTATATACCAGTAATTACCCATCAGCAGTTGAAGAATGGCTTTAAAAAAAAAAAAAAAAATTAAAAAAAAAAAAAAAAGCGCAAGAAAACAACCAGCAGGATTTTACAACTGAAACGTTGGTTTGTCTTCTCATCTATTTTTTATGAGATTGAACCACTGGAACTTGGGGACAAGATGAGTCTGACCATATTGCAACAATCTGTCCGCTACAGTTGCAGTTCTTCATGACAAGCATTCAAAGTGTTAACTAAAACCATTGAAGCAACATACCTGCCATTAAAACTTGAATCCAGAAAAATAACTCCATGAACCTTTGCACTACCAAGTGGAATGGCCTTTAATGCTGTAGATAGATGGGTTTGCTGTTTGCAGTTTGGCTGGCGTACGGTGCAAAGACTGACTCTCTTCTTTCCTTCCCTTGTCTTTCCCTGGATCGTGTCGGAATTCTTGCTGCAGATGATGAACCAGCTGGGCCAATGTAAGTGCATTTTTTAAGAAAAAAAAAAAAAAATGTTACTGAGCTTAATCTGAGGGTTTATGGGAGTTTACATAGGATTGATATGACGTGTGACATGACTGCTGGTAGCGTGGACCCTTTGGTTTGTGGTTTGTCAGCACTGGAGCAAAGAAAAGTGGGGTCTGCAGGGTCCTTGCTAGGAAAAAAAAAATATTGCTGAAGGGACCTGCGGTCTGCCTGACTGGCTGGTGTGGCTGATCTGATAATACTGCTCACAGGTATCATAAGCAAAATCAAAAAGCTTCTTCAGCTGTAAAAAGGAAGCAGTAAAACTAGGAAGCAAACGGCAGGCGTAGGGGGTGAACTGCACTGGGCAAGAAGGTGGCAAGGTTCAAGTCTAGAAGTTGTGTTGGTGCTCAGCCACTTAAGAGCAGGAAGAATGAAACGCTGTTTAACTGATTGTGTGCAGACGTTTTTTCCTGTGTTGTGATTGACTTCGTTTGCGTCTTTTTTTTTAATTCTTTTCTTTCTGCAGGAAAACCAATTCTACAAACAATCATAAAGATAAAAACTTACGCCAGAGAAACACAAATTAAAAATGCTTATCATGTAAGTATGACTCGCACACGTCTCCGAAACGGTCAGGCTAAAGTCCTCCTTGTTCTGTGGTGGTTGGGGTGCGTAAAGAGAACTTGTTCCACGGGTTAAGAAGGTCCCAGCTGCTCGGGGGAGGGCACTACCCTTCCTGCCACGCTCCAGAGGGCACTGGGGGTTATCAAAAGATTTTTGTCATAAAATACGCAGGTAGCTTAATGATCCAGTAGCTGTCCAACTCTACGTAATGGCTGCGATTGCTAATAAAAAAGAAACCCAAACCCTTCCTCGGTCAGTCTTTAAAACCTGGAAGCTCACCTTGGTGGGAAGCCTGTGTCTTCGTTTAAAACCCGAACGGAAGTTAAGCGCTTTGATTGCACGCTGTTACGGCACGCGATGTTGAAAATGCTGCCAGGCATTGACTAGCACCTTTTCTCATTTCTTTTTTAGAGCTTTAAGTTTCTGAGAGACTGATGGCAATATGACCTGCTAAATTTAAGGGTTGGAACTCTTGGTTCTAGAACTCCAGTTCTGTCTGACTTTTTTTTTTTTTTTTTCTTTTTCCTTTTCAAGTGAGCAACAATATGACTGTCTAAAGCATGCCTTATTTAGCCTCTCCTGTAAGGATGACCTAGCCAGATAAATCTTAATAATGCTTCAGTGTAGAAGGTGTAAACTATTTTGGGCTTGATGTGCTGTGAATGTTGCTTTTTTTTTCTTTCTTTCTTTTTTTTTTTTTTTTTTTTTGTCCTTAATCTATTTAAACATTAGTATTAGTAAGTCTGTTCACGCATGCGCCATTTTTTACTTCCTGTAGCTGTTAAAATTGGCAAAGCTCTAAAACGCACTGCTGCCATCTAGTGATACTTTTTGTAAAGTACAGCAAAACTTAAAAATATATACAGTATATATTTATATTTGGGGGGAGGGGGAAAACCAAACTACAGTAATTGTGTTTCATTTTTAAGCTGCTGATGTTCATTCCTTACTGTATGTCTGAAAGATGAGAGAATTATACTGTTCTGGTTCTTAGAGAAGTAATATAAATTGAAATTATCTTAAGGGCTTAACCTATAGAGAGAGACTTGGGTGTGTCCTATAATCAGACTTCAGAAGCTGGAACACTTCGACATGGTGGTGGTGGAATGCAGTTGAAAACAAAAACAAAACTTCAGTTTATAAATATATATATATATGATTGCTTTTTAAGTGATTTTTTTTTTTTTTTTTTTTGTTAACTCATGTAAATTCTCAAATCCTTTTGCACTGATGTGTTCAACATATTCTTGTACATTCAATTCAGGCAAACTTTTATAATTTTTTTTTTTGTTTGTTTAAATGATGAAATGTTACAGCATGGTGATATTCTATGCAACTAGTTATATTCTTTAGTTTGACACTGTAATTTCTCATGATTTAAAGATTGTAGAAATAGACCTAACAGGGTTCTCATGATGTGCGTAACTGTAGATGCATGAACTTGGGTTCTGTGTATTTGTTGAAGTGCAATGATGTATAAAAAGTGGATTCACCTGTTTTTAAAAATAAAACACTGACAAAAAAAAAGAAGTGTGAGACTTTTTCAAGTATTTAATCACGCTTAAGCTTGTGTATCCCAAGTGCTGGGTATCCTGGAGTATGTCTTCCAGTGGCAACAAGCTGGTGTTTCTCAACCTTCTGTGAGTTTTTTCAATTCCTTCTCCACGTCTTCCACAAAAGCTGGGAAATTGTGATCCATGAGACATAAGCGAATGAAGGGCCCCAGCTCCTGCGCTCGCCACGCCGAGTGCCGGTACGCAAGGGGGAGCTCAGAGTTCTTTTTCAGCACAGACTGCGAAAGTAAAAAACCAAAGGTGTTGCACTGGAACTAAAAAAAAATCAAAGGTGTTGCACCGAAAGCAAAAAACCACAGGTGTTGCACCGGTTTTTGTAACAATGCAGCTACGTCAAACTTTTCCTTCAGTATTTAATAAAGATGCATCTGCCTTGTTACTAATGCTGCAATTGAATACTTTCAGTCAGATATGATTTCTGTATGTCATTTTTTTCCCCTCTGATTCCAATATAGCTTTTATGCATCTCTGAATTCCTTCGCAGTTATTTCAATTGGAAGTGCCAACTTCCTGGGTAACACGGCTTCCTCGTGAGTATCCACCCAGTGTAAGACAAGAGGATCCTGTACGACGCGTACGCTCTGCCACTTGAAATGTGTAATGATAACCAAGTGCGCAGTTCTAAGCTTTTAATTTAAAATTTAGCAGGAATGCCTTTTGGAAGTAAATGATGGGGCTTGTTAAGGGTGAAAACATCCTTTCCCTGCCTGTTTAACTCCAGCTGCTTCCCCGCGGTGGTGGGGAACGGCGTAAAACCAGCGGTGGCCGTGGGGGGCTGGGGCTGGGGGAGCCCCGCCGGGCGCCTCCCGCGCTGCCCTCCCCGTGGTGAGGAGCTGAGGCAGCTCCACTGAAAGGCCCCGGTGGCCCTGCTGCAGCTTGTACCACCGTTTTCCCCCTGCTCGGGCTGCAGATGTTCCACAGACTTCACCGCCCCCTCGGCCTTTAACTTTCTCTACCCGGCTGGGCTGAAGTCACTAAAACTGCAGCGGCAGGTGCTGATGCTTTTTGGATGCTCCGCACGGGAGAGCAGAAGCGAAGAAAACCACTGAAGTCTTACTTTCAGGGCGAGGTAAGTGTGGTGTGTAGGGGCAGCTGGTGATGGGGTTGAGTGGTTCTGTTCTTGGGGGGAAACGCCTAATGCTACCTAGTCTGCACCAGGCTTTTAAAAACTTCATGTGCATTTTTCACATGCAAAAAAACCTTTTTTTTGTTTTGTTTTGTTTAGAAGCAGCCCAAGTTAAACCAAGCCTCTCCGTCCGGGAAAGGCAGGATTGCTGTTCACTTCAATCAGCCCAGGTTCTGCTGCCCCAGCCTGAAATGGTGCAAACCAGCTGGCAGATGGACTGGGCGTGCTGACAGCTGGAGCGTAGCTCTGTTGGGCTTGTGGGGAGGAAAAAAACCACCTTAATATTTTTTGCTAATCTAACTGTTGGTTCACATTGCCCTGTTGCTCTTTTCCTGACGGAGAAAAGGATCTTTAAAGGTTGTTGTCTTTTTTAAAAAAAAAAATCTGCAAGAGAATGCTTAAAGCCAGCGCTTCCTGAAGTGGTGGAAATGGAGAAATTTTAACTCTAGAGTGTTCCAGAGCGCCAGCTGAAAGGGTGTTTCTAAAGTTCAAGTTCAGCCCTGAGCAAACTGTATGACAACCTGCAGGCCAGGGCGTGGGAGATCCCAGCTCAGTGCTGTTGTGTTAAGCTGAATAAGAAGTAGAGGGGCAAACAGAGGGGGATGTAGGAAACTGCTACACCAAGGAGTCTTTCTGCCGGGGAATTTTAGTAATTCAAGCAAGAGATGGATGAATGTGTACAGCAAACGGAGGTCTTCCTGGCAGAAAGCTTTGTTTGAAGAAGGGATCACGCTTCTTGTCTTACACAGGGACCAGAGAATGGCAGTTTTTAGAAGCACAAAGTTGTTTATGATGTTGGTGTTAATTTACATTTCCTAGTATTACCTCTTAAAGCAGGGATTGGCCCTGAAAAATACAGTTGGTAAAGGCAAGCTGCCTTGTTTGATCACTCTTGCTTGTTGATGCACACTTGCTGCATTGTACAAGGCCAATAACAAAACCGGTGGGAATCGAACAGCAGGGCACGCGCTCCAGCTCTCCCCACCGCAAGGAGAGTACAGGGAGCTCTGCTTCTGAAAACGGAGGTGTTTAAAAAAGGCTTTTTTGGGTTTAAGAGATGACAGATTTGTAACAGTGAGCACAGGAATTGCCCCTTATACCACTGATGTGAATAAATACTGACTTGGATCACCTTGTGAATGTGGAAAAAAGGTAAGACAGAGCCATAGAAGCAACAGCACAGGAACAGAGGCTGGAAAGAGTGGTGTTTTCTTCTTAGTTATCCGATCCTGCACTGCCCCAAATTCACAGAAAACAAGCAGCAGTTAACTTCCAGTTGTTTTTAAACACAGCTCTCCCCCAGAGTTCCCCGTGAAGCTGTCGCTTGAACTGGGGGATCTCTTGCTGCGGGTGAAGGCTGATGGTATTTTCAGACTTAAGCTATGACTGCAGAAGTTATTTCTGCAGAGCCAAGAGAGTGACAAAGCCATTTATTCGGATGTGACCTCTGGGTGTGTGTTTGTTCTCAGTGTGTGGTTTTGTTCTTATGCAAATGGAATAATTACACCATGAAATACCTGCGTTTGCAGCTTATTTCCTAGCTGCAGATCATTACACAAGATCCTGTGTTTTTGTTGGAATAGATGATGTCATCCTGATGTTAGTGAAGACGTTTACCAGATGTTTACAGAATATGAGATAGCATTCATGCTCTCTCTCTCCATGCCCCAGAGATTCAGTTACAGGATTTAAATATTAGATTTTTCTTTTTTTTTTTTTTACCTGCGCTAGCTGCATTACAGATCTTCTTTCTCCAAGGCTTGTACAGAAATCTGGTAGAGGCTCATCTGGCTAGAAAATATCAAATGCAAATAAGGGCTTGTTACCAGGCAGAGTGTGGGTATATGCAAGGAGGGAAGTAGTTCCATTTTTAGAGATAACGGGAAGAAAATGTGCTCAGCTACCTTATGCAGTAAAAAGGCATCTTTTTATGGAAGCTGAATGCACATCTGCTCAAGTTTTTTAAAATGAAAGATGTGAAATAATGGGCCTGTAGTTAAACTGTCATGTCTAAACTAAGATAACTTTTAAATTCCTTACTGGAAGTAACTTTAAAAATGCAGTGTCTGAATGCTCTCCAGGAGCATGCTTTTTGCCTTCCCGTGGGTCACATCACTGAAAATCTTTTCCATCTTTATTTTAGACCATTTGGTCTAAGTTGTCAATTCTATTTTCCGAGTGATGTTTTCAGTCTAACTTCTGGAGCAAGAGCATTATCAATGCAAGCAGCACGACTGTTGGTGTTCAGCAGCATTCTGCCATGAGGTGGTTCCTTCACCTTTCATTCTCCCCTTTAGCTTATCAGGAAGGGAGCAAAGCCCCAAGTGCAGGTAATCTGCTCAGAGAACAAACAGTAACTCCTGAGTATCAGCTCTTGAAGGTGTCTCGTATGCCTTCCTGGAAGTGGTGTGAGTCAAATCAGCAATGTATTTTTTGTCCTGCACTTTCTCTAACAAATACGATTCCATTGACCAGTAGAGCAGGAGCTTCCTAGATTATATGATGAAAATGATGTAGCTGAAAGCTTTGACGTTCCTTTTTCAGGGATCGCTCTTGGTCCTGATATTTTTACCACGTACCCAAGAGCTTTCCTGGCTAAGTTACCTGCAGGGATGTTTTTCAGAGCTGGTAAACGTGATCCTCTGGATACCCAAGAGAGCATATATTTAAGAATTAGTCACCCTCAGCAACACTATCTGCCTTTGCCTTTTCCATTTACCTTAGGTCTTTGTCTTGGAGAGGGGAAACTTTCTGTTCCTACCCTGAAATGACTTTTAAATGCGTCAGCTTAAGCTCAAATCAATACAATTGCATATTTACAACTATGAACACTGCAAAACAGGAGTAGGTAAACACAACAAGGAGAACACAATTCATGGTTACTTAAATGCCTCTGGTCATTTTTCTTACTCTGTATCATTTATTTGAAAGTCCGCCAGGTGGTTCCCAGCAGTCTTAGCAGAAATCCACACTGATGAAGTTGTAGATGTGTTGTTTTGGTAGCTATTTGGCTCTCCTCTGCCCCCTATTCTTGATTATTAGCCTCTCAGCAAAAAACATCCAAGTCTTCCACCAAACCATGCCACCATCTGATGGGGAACTGGTAGATGACACTTGGCTGCCGAGTTTGCTGCCATTTCTTTTCATGGTTAGTAACCTCCTATGTTTGCCTAAGCCCTGCATAAATTGTTCTCTTCACTTCCAGGCTCCCTGGCTAAGGAAGAGTTCAAACCCCAGAGCAAAGCTTTTTCTCCCATCTACAAATCTCATTCCATGTGCTCGCTAATAGTCTTCCTATAACCACGTGGAATGTGTGTGTTAACTTTGGTTATTAGTGACCTCGTGGAGGCCAAACCGAGGGCATCCGATTGCTCTGAGGTATGTTACAATAAGCTTGAGGAGCTAGAACCACTTTTTTGAGCATTGTTCTGTTAACTTTTCTGAGGTGTGCTAAGATAGCCAGTGTCAGCAGCTGGCTTCCCGAGTAACCCCAGCCCTGGTCACTAACTAGGTTTCTCTACATTGCAAACTGAATTTTGGGTTCCCCAAATTGTCTTTCAGGTAGATGGTCCCATAGTTGCAAAAAGCTTTCTGCAGAATTAAGATCTGTCACAGATCTAACGCTAATAGTTGATGCTTTTTCTATTTTTCTGTCTGTATGTTCTTGCTTACTTACTGTATGTAGTACTGACGCATTTTGTTCAGTGCCCTTCACTTGATTTTCACCACTAGGCAGCTGACTGAGACCGTGATAGAGCTGCTGGCTTTGTTCATCAGTTACTTCAACCGGTACATACTCTGCAAGTTTCTGAACACAATTGCAGCAGTGTTCCAGCATCTCTTCTTTGGAATCTCCACCAAACTGAACACGAAACATGCGGCATTCATTCTGCTCAAAAACCAAAGAGAAATTAAATTAACTGAATCCCCTCAAACTACTCTGATTTAATTAAATTCCTATTTGTTGAAGTTAGGAAAAAAGCGATGAGTTTTTGGATCACTGCACCAACTTAAAAATGAATAAGCAAGTTTTACTTGCTGTATCTTTATTTTTCCTAGCAGCTAAACCAGAAGACTATGAATCCCAGTTAGAAATTCAGTTAAAGAACCCCAAGAAAATGGTGAGCAGGGCCACTTGGAAACTAAAGGTCTAGCCAAGTGAGCAAACCTCACCACGATGACAGTTTTTAGATGTACAGCTGGGAAATTAAGTTCTTATTGTTGCTGCAAGTAGTATCCTGTAAGGATGTGCCAACTCTGAACAGTTAATTTGTGACAAAAAAATGAGATGACACTAAAGTAAGCAGAAGTTAACTTTGGAATCTAAACTAAAAGTTCTGGAACTGTACGTTCCATGTAGCATTTATGTTCCTGTCTGCACCAAACCCAGCCTTGCCCACCTCCGTGGTCTGCCTGCGCGTAGCTAAACAGACAAATTCCGTTTGGCACTCTGGCTGTGAACGCTGCTGTTCCTTGAATAGAAGCTAACAGGATCACGAGTACAAGAAACTCAAAAACGCATGACTTCAAATAATGAAATAAGACTAAAAATAAAGAAGCCTGGATTGCTCCGACTCCCCAGTATAGGTGGTTGGGCTGCAGCATAATAGATATTTTAAGTGCACGAGGCCAAGCAAGCTGCACTGAAAATGGAGAAGAACTAAAGAGTCCATCGGGCAGGACAAGGTTTTCCTAAGCACATTCAGCTAGTGTAAGGCAGATGCATACTGAATGCTCTCGTTTAGGGAGTGAGTTAATGGGACTTTCCATTTGATCTTGAAATTTCAACTTTAAAACAGAGTTAAAGTACTAGAAAAGAAGCAAGTTTTCCTTGGACCTACCTAGCTTATTCAAGTCTTCATCTTTCTGAGATTCCAATATCAAAACCGTTATTTAAATGACTAGATGTGCTGCTAGACTGCTGATCACATGAATACAAGGACATCTTTCACTTTTAAAGATTTTTGTCTCAGAGATGAGCCAGCTTTTCCTGACAGCCTGTACGTTTACATGCATGTTACTTTAAGATGCTTGTGTTGCAGAAAATGATTTTTAGGGCGTTGTAAGCATAAAAGCTTGTCTCGGTACCTTTTAAAGGGAAAAATGTCACAATAATTAAAACTGTAGCACTTGTTTTACCAGTGCTCAGTTAAATTTCTTTTAATTAACTGAGATGTCAACTTAACTGGGTCAGCTTCATATAACCCAGAATGGATTTGTGGATGTGCCAGACAGGTGGGTTCTTATTAAGATGACAGAAAGGTAACTTGCATCTTCATTTGAATTCCTTTTGGAGACTTTCAAAGAACACTTGTTTTGGTTACCCTTACATCCATTTTCAGTCTGAGCTATTTGTATTACCCTCTGCTTTTTCACAAGGAATGTTACATACTTAAGACTGCAGTTTATAAACAACAATAGACTTTTTTCCTTTATGGAAAAACAGGGAGCACTGAAATTCAGCTAAGAGGATGTCAAGTTTTAGCCTGAACTGAGCACTGGGCGTTAACATCTGAACCATACAAGAGCTGAAGTATTAACCTTGAGGTCAGTTGGATCACCAAACTTGCTCCTCTTCCCGTGCTGGGGCGGGGGGGTCAAGCTCAATGAAAACAGCAGGAAGGGAAATGACTTACTACAAGAATATCATTTGTCTTGCTACTGTTTACAGATTGTTTCATATAAAAAAGTTTTTATACATAAAGACACATCGAAGACTAATGTGAGAGAAGCAAGTACCAGAGGTGGAGCTGTGTAAAGGGCAATCACAGCCATACAGCTTGCTCTTTCAGCTCAGTGTAAGGCACAGGCACACATCTGCCAGGTATGGCCTCAGGATTACACACTCCTGTGCTTCATGAACAAAATTTCCACTGGTACATCTCAGTTTCAGTAGTGATCAACGACAGGTATCTCCTCTACGTGTCTTGTTCCTTCAAGTCTAGTAACACTAAGCTTCTCAAAACATAGTTTAGAAACTCATTCTGCTAGCTGAGTCCACATTGCCCTACTGAAATTATATTTCATAAGAAATGAGTAAGTTTCACTATAAATGCAGTATTAATGACTTACAAAAAACAAGGAATACAAGAATAAATCAGAGATGATTGATAGTGTAATATTTAGTTGCCCTGTGCCGTCAGATATAGGAACTGGCTTTTGAAAACCTAGTTTACTTTCCTCTGCCTAAATGGCTTCTGCTTGACTCTTTCCTTACTTAGGTCTAGCAGGGTTGAGACATAACCCCTTACATGGTATGTCTGGCTTCCTGAATTTTAAAAATATTTTTGAAGATTAGCACCAAAGCTATATACACTGACAGCATTTAAGGAATCACTTCAGCTACAATTTAAGCTATAGAGAAACTGAATGATAGAACCATTGCAGTGCCACTAAATCCAGTTTAGGTTGTGTGAACTAATGCCAAGTAAACATTTAGATGCACCAAATTAATTTAAAACTCTGTTAGTGTTCCCCCTTTTTTTTTTGAACTGTCCCTCCGAGCTTTTTTCCAGCCTCAAAGTGATTGTGATGTTGATTTTGTGTTTCTTGTGAGATGCAGCAGAATCCCTTAGCACTGTGCTGGGGAGCTGGTTCTATTAACAGATGATCATCTGATTCATCAGAACTAATTACTGCAACAGCTCGATAGTCTTCTTCAGTGATACTCCACATTTTATTAGAATCTGACAAAAATCAGAGAGCAAAGGTGTTTGGGTTTCAGGCAAGCATAACCCATGAATTTTAAACAGTTTAAGATACTTATTTATGCAGTTCCTAGTGCCACCATTAGACTGGGCTTATTCTTAAACAAGCTGAGTCCTTGTATTTAAACAATGTTTATTATGGCTCACATCTGCGTTTATCTTGCAATTAGCAAGACATTCTCCCCTCTGCAAACTATATTGTTTGGTTTATAACATCCTATAAAGAAATATTTATGTGTCTTTCATAAAAGAAATCACATAAAGGATTGAAATAAAACTTAACAGGAATTTTTACAGTTTTCAGCTATTCTGGAAATTGCTATTATCTGCAATTACAATAACCCAGTCTGTACAAGAGTTCCTGTCAGGGGAGAATGCCAGAACATCTCAGAATACTTGAGATGTTTTTATGCCTTAATAGCTCTGTGAACAGGGCAAAGAAAGAAAGAAAAAAAAAACAAAAAAAAAAAAAAAAAAAAGAGGGGTCTCTAGTAGCTACTGAACAAGGGGCTCATCACTCATCTTCTTCCAGAATTCTGTTTCTAACGGCTTCTCTTGTCAAGTACAGATACTTAAATCAGAGGCAGCTGTTTCTGCTGAAAGAACAAAGCCTAGAAACTATCAGGGGAAAAGGGAGAGCTCCTCTCATTTTGAAACAGGCTTTGTTTTTGAAAAACCTGGCAAGTGCTCGGTGTAGATGAATAAGAACCTTCTTAGACTTCACCTAAGAACCAAGAAAATGGAGATTTATACACAAGTTGGTAAAAAGCAAGTGTTGTTTAATTACTTAAAGGCTAGGGGAAGACCAGAAACCTAGGTCCCTTTCATTGTCTTGAATATCAAATGCCTGGATCACCAGCCTGCCACTGGCCTGTGTCACCAGCCACAAAATGGCTAAATAATTGTTTCTTTAGATAATTGGCTTGCCAAAGTGAAGTATGACCCATAGGTTGCATGCTTCTGTACATGTAAGAAAATTGCTTCATCTTTTTGTTAGCCATGGCAGATTGATTCTAAAATAAATACCGAGTTAGCTGTTTTAGTAGCTAACTCTCAGAAAGCAGTCTAAAAGACCTGAATATTTGCAGTTACAAAAGACACTAAGATGATTCACTCCATTCTTGTTTAGTATCTAGAGTAAAAACTAAAATAAAATATTTAGAAAGACAATTTACAGCATCTCAGAACTTCTGGTTTAATCTATCCAATATTAAGAAATTGAATACAGAACTGTGTTAGCCATTACAAATATTAAAAGCAACTCAACTTACCTTTGACTGTGCACGAAGCAACAGACAGTCTGCTCTTCTTACTATCTTTAGCCACTTGTGGGAATCAATTAATGAAAATCCCTCCTGAAATAAAGCAGAACACAAACCACTAGCACAATAAACATGCAACGCTCAGAAGCATGTACTTAGTGTTGTAGTTTAATCCGTAATGACGGTCAGTCATCTGCATACCTGCAACTTTTGTATCTGCCAAACAACTGCCAATGTATAATTTTTACCATGCTAGGCATCAAATCTGAATCTGTAGCTCCACCAACAACACTCTGTCAAGGTACGTTCTAATTTCCAATATATATTTTTTACATTTATATTTGTGGATGTTATGAAAGTCTTCATGAAACACATAAAACAGCTGCACAGAGCGCTTTAAATTCTTCTGCATCCCATGAAGCTGCCCAAGAGGGCAGCAGAGGGCAGGCAAACCCGAAGAATGGGACAGCAGTTGGTTTATCTAAGTCCCAGAGAGGCATTTTCTCCAGATGGAATTCAGGTACACATGAAGCAGCCTTCATAACTTTATAAAGCTGTTTTTATAATCCAATTGCATTAACTGTCAATCTCTTCAAACAAGATGGACTGCTCAGCATTCTGTAAAAATATCCCAGGAAGCCGAAAACATCATCTAAAAATTGCAAGGCAATGGACTGTGTCTCCCAAGGTACTTTCCACAAACTGCCACATAGTCATTAGTTAGCACAGTCTAGGGGATGCAAAAAAACCAAACAAATTTAAGGGCAGGGAGGAAATTACCTACCCATTCTATCTGAACCCATACTGCTCTCAGTGAGTGTGGCTTTTCACATAGGCTGCTTTTCATATGTGTTCTATGGGTCAAGAACAGCAAGTCCTGTCCATCCTGGACTGCCAGCCGTGTGTTTTTGCAAGTTTTTACTATCTTATGCAGGTTCAGGCTGGGAAACCATCTGCCGTTTGATTTTGGTACAAGAAGTCACCTCAGTAAGACACTGTCTTAACGTGCTGGCACTGGCTTTATAGTCCATGCAGCAATTGCATGTGGCTTTTTAACTCAACTTTTAGGAGATGGATGTTTAGAAAGCACTGAAGAGTTGAAACAAAGGCAGACTGGATCACAGACACGTAGCTGATCAGACGCTTGCTGTGATAGGCTCTGGAATGGTTTGAGAGCATGCGAGTATCATTCCCTAAAGATCTGAGGTCAGCGGGAGAAAAGACTTTCCCTCTGCACTGCAACAACAGATGCTGACAGCAGGTACGGCGGGCCCGACACTTGCAGCATGTCTGTTTGCACTGAGCCCATGCAAAATGCCACGGAGGACTTGCTAAAGTGTGAAGAGCCTCAGGGTCAAAAGAACCCGGAGACCTCACTTTGTGACTGGTGGGGAAGTCCCAAGCTATCCTCTCCTCTCACAGGAATTAGTAAAGGAACCCTGGATCCTTAGAGGGACGAACTGCAGAGGACAGACCTCACACCAGGAAAGAGCTGCTTATTTGGTAAGTTGATGTTCTCCAGCCATGCTACCTGGTGCAATCTGGCTGCTGAAGAATGCAGCAGGAGGCTGTGTCCAGCACGCTGCGGGCACCCTCCTTCCACTTCCAGACAAAACCCTTCCTGGCAGCAAATAGGAGGAAGACTCTGAAGAAGGTCAGTCTGCCACGTAGTCTGAATTTATGCCTGACACAGTAAGGGAAGCCTGTGAAATGCCCTTGCTCCTCTGTACCCCTGGGATTTTAGCACCCCTGCATTTGGGGCGTGCGGTTTTAGCCTCTTTTGATAGACCTGCCCAACAAGAGTTTGGTATACCAACATTAAGGTGAGGGCAGTGTTGGGGGGAGAACGTACTGAGGAGAATGCCTGAGGAATGAGATGGGATTAGTAGGCTAAGAAAGGAGCACAGCACTGGTAGAACACTTCTAGAATAATCAGTAGTGCTTCACATGTCATATTTCTACTTGCACCATAGAACATATTACTTTGAAATTTGGCCCCAAAGTATTATTTAATACTGAAAATGGAAAAGCATCAGCAAGTTGTGCTAGCAATTGTGCGCAGCAGAAAGTTATGTCAAAAGTCAAGAGTATCAGTCATGCCAACAACATGGAAATAGCAGCATCTGCAACAGCAAAAAAACAGCATTAATTGTGCACCTGCATTGCAAAGAGCTCTTAGTACATGGCTTTACAAAATACAAAAATGCAGATTTGTTTTGTGTACACGAGGAGTACTTTAGAGGAGACATGGAGTGGCATCCACCCACGATGCTTATCAGCTTGTGCGGTGCTCGTGCTGCCGTAGTTGCTACAAGGGATCTACTAAGGAAGCAAGCAAGGAAAACAGAATTGCAGTTAGAGTAAGGTACAGCTGACAGTGCATTCAAGAAGGGAAACAACTGGTTGCAGAAAACACACGTCATGCAGAAGAGTTTGAAGGGTGCAGGGCAAGGCTCTCAAGTCAGAACATGGAAAGATGGGATATGTAGAACTGGAATATATAAAGCAAACAAAAATATTTTCATCTGTCCTTTCCAGAGAGGGTATATTCTTGATGTTTATACAAATAATCTGAGAGTAAGTGGTCTCACTGTTTGGAATGCAGTAGACCAAGTGCATTTATATTTATTTTTGTGAAATAAACACGAACTAACATAAGGTGAATTTCATCTCGGCACAAGGACTTCTTTCTCTCATTTAAAGCAGCAACTGTTCAACATCTTTTAACTTACTTAGATTGAGGGGAATATCCATACCTTTTTCAAAACACCCGGGCCAGTTCAGAACTGCCCCCTCTGGCCAAGCAGCCACGCTGAGTCCTGGACAGCCAGCCAGCCCAAGAAATGACTTTGTGTTGGAGGATGACGGCTGCTCGTGCTTGCAGGCTTAGTGCTTCCTACCACAGGGAATTTCTCCACAACCACCGGGTCTTCCTCCAAGCCCACTGCCATGCCCCCCAAGGGGAGCATTAGTGAAACAATTCTAGTATCGTGTTCTCTCACTCAGCCTCTTTAACTTGCGGCCGCTTGTGTTTACTCTGGACATTTCAAATAGTTACTGGTTTTGATACACACCAACTATGTTTATGTTCCCATACTAAGTCTATTTTTATAGTGTTTTTCCTTTCACTGTAAGATGTAGGTTGAACAAGTGTTGTCTCTTTAAAATAATAACTGTTTTCAAAGAAATCATAAAACTCAGCCAATGTTTAACTTTTCTACCAACTATTTTATTGGTATTTCCCAGGTTGTCATCCTTTTGTATGTCCTGTTTCTGAGGTAAAGCAAGCTGGAAAAAAACAGCATTTGGAATTTTTATTTATGTACTTCTAATTATCCAACTCCCATGCCAAAATTTGATTAACTGAAATTTAATTTACTTCAAGTTTAATTAACTGAAGAACAAAGCAGAAGGTATTTCCTTTCTTCTTGCACATTTGGTTGATTGGGTATTGCCAAGCAGAAACGAGTATCTAAGAATAGCTAAACCAAATAGAGAAACTCAATCCAGTGCTCGAGCAATACATCAGACCTGATTTGGCACAGACAAGCTACCTGAAAATCGAGAAGGAATCTTTCATCTAAATCTCAGGTCTGTGGAACTACTCAGACTAAACTCCATCATTAAATTGTTGACATTAGTCAGGATCCTCTAGATTTTCCTCCGTTCTAAGCAGCAAATAAGCCTGATTTTACACCGTGTTAAGGTCTAGTCTGATCCTCATCGCTTTTCCATGTTAGCTCAGTCAGCATAGACTGTATTTGAGGCTGCCTGAATTAAGACAAAATAAGATTCTCAACAATGACAATTCTCTCTCTTGTCAACAATTAAATAGTTATAAAGTTAGGTCAATGAATTCAGAGCAGTGGGAAGGAAGACCACAATAAATCTGTCCCTTGTTCTGTCACTTGAAGTCAAGATCTCTGCCAGCACCCAGGAGCTCGGTGTGGGGTGGACCCTGGAAACTGTACGACAATATCCTGAGATTATAGTCCATTTGTGCTTTTCTAGAGATAATTAATTGACTCTAAACCTGCTCCGGACATATGCACCAATAAAGAAAAAAATAGTAGTCCCTCTGGATTGCTGCTGCCACCACGCTGACAGAAATACAGAGAAGAGAGCAGCTGTGATCACTGTTCCCCTGGAGCAGGCACCATCCATAGCTGCTTTACATTTGGAGCTGGGCGTTGCTGTGTGGTGCTGGGCATGAGCGAAGGCAGATGGCAGTGTAAGATTAATCAGGAATATAGACAAAAAGGCAACCTAGAGCTGGGCAGGAACGTAAGACCTCAAGTGTTTACAATCTGAAGAGATAAATGGCAGCACTTTTCTAATGATCATTTGATCATTAATGTTCAATCATGCAGATATACCTTATCGCATTCTCCAGGATCATACTTGTAGGAACACTGTATTAAAGGAAAACAGTTTGATGCATCTCTGACAAAAACCTAGGTCTCTCAGAGGGAGGACCCTGAGAACAATTAAGCTGAAGGAGAAAACAAAGCAAGACATTTCCCAAATATTTTGGAAGCAGGCAAGATGAGACCACACCTTATGAGGCAGAGAAGCCAATAATGCTGGTGGAGCCTTACAGCCATCTAGTCCGTCATTAACTGGGAAATACTTTTGCTCTGATTTCACATTTCAGCATTCAAAAAGCTGCTGGATAATGAGGCCTGTGAGCTATGTTAGAATGTACTGCATGTTATTTATGAATATTTTTATTATTGTATCATCTAGATACCCTGTGGTGCTAAGCAACATAGGAACACAGGAACAGACTATCCATTTTATGTTAGATTGCAAGCCCTTTAGGCAACCCTATCTTAACTAAAAATTAATATAAATTTAAGAAATTTTACTTGTGTATCAGTTTAGCTACGCTGGCTTGTATCGATTAATTTGGATTCACTCATTCATGAGACAGATGTTTTCAAATGAAACTTAACTATGTGTAAACAATAGCTTAGGAAGAAAAAATTTCTTTTTTGCCACAAACATTATATACCCTGCCCTTAAATTACAACCAATATTTAAGAAGACAAACAAAACCCCAGAATGACACACATCCTCCAGTTTTGGCTGCC